ATATTCATTACCATTGATTTATATAGGCTTCAGAAATATGTTTAGTCATAGGAATTTGGGATTTTTTATTTTATAATGCAGTTTGTTAGTCTTTCAGAAACAGGTTTCTAAATAACTCAGTTACTGTTTATTAGTAAGTTGTTTTGGAACAACTTCAATATCTTTTTATAAACACTTCTTGTAGGAAAAAGGGACTTTGGTATTTTTTGCAGACAGTTATTGAAGTGTTTTGCAGTAATTTTTAAGAAAACTTTTAGCAGGCATTCTCATGACAACTGTTAAAAAAATTACTGAGGATCCCAAAGAGTTTTCATTTGTGCATTTTGTATCTATTACATATTACCTGCTATATTAGAGATTAAAACTGAGACAATTTAAGGGTATTTAATAATCTTAAAATATATTGGTGTCTATATATTTGATTTCCTTGACTCTGAGAAGGCCAGAATTTATGACCCTGGTTTAGACACTTAGGTCATTAGTATTTTGTAGTTCTTTCTTAATATCCTATTCTAATTTTTAATGTTAGTGGTGGTGGTTGACAATCATTTAAAAATCAAGCTCTTTTGTCCTGAGATTTCAAAATTGAAAAAAAAACATATTCTTGAGTATTTCTCAAGTATATTAATATCTGTTGATTTTATTGGGAATATTAGAAATGACTAACTGTTTTCTCTTTGAAGACTATTAATCAGTTTTGGGTCATTATAACAAAGTACAGAAGATAATTTATAAAGAAAAGTTTATTTTTGTTCACAGTCCATTATCATTTAACACCCCCATGGTTTGGGGCCTGTGGAGAGGCAGCACATGGTTGTGGGAGTGCATGGTAGAACAAGTTGAGCTACAGAACAAAAGAGGAGAGGAGAGGGAATGGACTGTGATCCCACAGTTTTAAGGATGTATCTATCCCCCGTGACACAGTCCTTTCCTTCTAAAGGTTCCACCACCTTCCAGTAGTGCCATGCTGAGAACCAGTGTGGGCATTTGGGGAATATTTAGCATCTATACTATTGCACTACCATAGATTAGGTTTCAAAAAGAATCCAGTACAATTCTCTGTGATGATCATCACTCAACCTTGGTTTTGGTAAGTAGCCAGAAATATTAGCATAGACTAGTTTTATAATATAAAGAGGGGACTAGGTTGTACAAAACTGTGGTTTTACAGTTTTTCCTTAAAACTATCAAGTTGTACTATTTTCCCAGAAGTTTGTTTTATTTCAGTGCTACTGGATTCTGTTTCAAAGTCAACCTTTATAACCTATATCTTCTGTTGCTTAAGATAATAGGAACTGCAAATGTTGATAGAGGGCTTACTATGTTCCAGCAACTGTTCTAAGTGCTTTATGTATTTTAATTCATTTAATCTCACAACTCTATGAAGTGACCCTCTTTGTCTTTTCTTTATASGTGAGGAAGTAGGTGCAGAGAGATTAAGTAACTTGCCCAAGTTTCTCAGCCATGGAGGTAGAATTTGAAGTCAGAGAGTCTGGTTCCAAAGGCTATTCTTTTTAACCACAGTGCTATAGGCTTACCTAAGTAAACTTAACACCCACAATTACCAAACAGTTGTTTATTTAATTAATATAGCTCATTAAGCTGGATATTCATATTTCTCCTAAGGATTAAAAATTATAAATGATTTTTAAAAATTAGGTTTGTGGGGAAATGCCAGCTGTTCATAAAATTCCTAAAATGTTTGACTGGCTTGTATTTTATTTTTAAAACAGACTTTGTTTTTTAGAACAGTTTTAGATATACAGAAAAATTGAGACAGTATATGGAGTTCCCATATAATCTTATGCCCACTTTGCCTTATCTTCATAAGAATTAATGAACCAATTTTGACAGTAACCAACAATAATGCTACCTTTTTATTGAACAAAGTTCATAGTTTATTCAAATTTTCTAGATTTCCCCAAATGTCCTTTTTTCCCCCACTAAATGTCCTTTTGTCTTCTAAGATCCTATTATAGTACATTTAATGGTCATGTCTCCTTAAGTTCTCCCTGTCTCTTAAGTTTCTCATTTTTGGTGAGAAGAGTTTCAAGGAGTACTGCCTAGATATTGTGTAGCATGCCTTTGGTTAGAATTTTCTGATGTTCTCATGATTAGACTGAGGTTGTGAAACATTGGGGGAGAGATTACAGATTTAAAGTGTTTGTTTTTTTTTCATCACATTATCTCAAGGGTACTTGCTACCAACATGACTTAACATTGTTGTTGTTGATCTTGATCAACTGTCTTATGTGGTGTTTGTCAACTTCTACAGAGTAAAATTACTGCTTTTATCCTCCTATGCATATATTACTTTTTTGGAAGAAATCACTATCATACCTCTATGAGGGCAAAGTTATCTACATAAAGTAGTTAGTATTCTTTTACACAAGAGGTTTGTTTTTTCTCCATTTATTAATTTATTCAGTCATTTATACCAATATGAACATATAGATATTTATTTTATACTTTAGGTACAACATTGATACTGTTTATCGCTCCAATTGTTCCAGCTTTGGACAGAGGGAACCTTTTCAGTATCCTCCTTTTCCTTCCCCTTCTCCCCCTGATCTGCTGACTCTACTAATCTTTTTATTATTTAAATTAGTGCATTTTAATTATGTGTGTGTGTGTGTGTGTGTGTGTGTGTGTAAAATCAGGATTCACTGTGGTATTTTCATACATGGACATAGCATAATTTGATAGATTTTGTTCTATAATACTTTTCCTTGCCCTCTCCTCCTCCTTCTCTCCCTCTTCCTTACCTTCTGGAACTACATGTTGCTTTTGATTCAGCTTGTATATTTCCTGCCCCTGTCCTAGAATTAGTCATTTCTCAAAGGAGTTCTGATGTCTTTTATTGGCAAACGGTTCAGGAACTAAGATCTGTGTGCTAGGTATGCTTATTGCTACTGGGGTGTCATTTGTTTAGACCCTCTTAGATGACAGCAAAGAAATACATATGTCTATGCTGATCCACATGTTCATACACACATATCCATAAATATTTCTATATGTAACCATTTATAGCAAGCCAAACATCAGTTCTTCCTGAAGGTTCCAACTTTAATTCATCACTATCTGGATTATTATATTCTCCTCTCCCTCTTTATTTCTAAATTCACTCTGTAACAGTAAGATGTCTGGCTTCTACCATGTTATCCATTTATTCACATGTTTATGTCCAGTGTACATCTATAATGGTGTCAGTTGTAAATCCAATTTCCCATTGAAAAAACTTTTTCAGTTGTAGTACAGTATTTCCTTTGCCATTAGTTTTACTCATTTAATATACTTAGTTCCAGAGTTAATTAGGCTAGTATTTGATCTCCTGTTTTTTTTATTTTTCCCGTAAATAAAATTTGATAGATGAATGAATCAATTTTTTCCTGGAAGGCACTGTTTTCTCTCTTGCTTCTAGCACTCTATGTACCACTCTGTTGCTTCTCTCTGAATACTCTTTGCCCTTATATACCCAGCTCTTTATCTTGTCTTCCTGGCACCTCCACCCCTTGCTCCTCTTGTTCTACACATTTATTTCACTCTTGATAGTACTGTTAATAAATGGAATAATTTGTTTAATGTTTATCTTCCAACATTTCTGAAAACAAGAATATACATTTAATTATAACACCACATTTAAAAAAAATTTTTTTGGTTTTGAAGCTGAACTATTTCAGTAGGTAGGCATTATAACATTAAGAGCATGGATTCTGAAATTATGTGTGCTAACTTTATAAATTCTGGCTCCACAGTTTAATAACTTGGTAAATGTAGATGAGCTTCATTTCTCTCATCTGTACACTGGAGAATTTCAGGGTTTACAGCTAATAAAATCATGAACATTAAATGGAAAAATATATCTTTTAAGCATTTTTAAGAGTGTCTACCCATACTGAGCATTTAGTAAATATTAACTATTATTAAATGTTGTTGCTATGTAAGGTCAAGGAATGGAGATTTATAGCATAATACTATGTTTAAGATGATTATCTTTTCAAACTTCTGAAGATTGATTATTTCAGAGTCCTAAAGATAGGTTGATAATACATACTGGTTTGCCTGGGATGATAATCCAGAATATGACTGTTATGCTAGCATGATTATGAAGAGCATCCTCTTTTACTCACTAAAGTATTTTGGTTTGGGAAAATTATATGATCACTTAATTTTGGGGGGTTATGAAACTCTTATCTGCATCCCTCTGGCAGGGGTGGTATAGCACAGGAGGCTAGGATTAGACTAGTGGGTCCTGGGAAATGTGCACATCTAAGAGGGTAGCACTGCTTTGCTCCAGCTGCTGAGGAAGATAGAAGGCCTGTATAATACAATCTTGTTTTTTTTTAGAGTAGGCAGAAATCTGGAAAATTTAAAATGGTTCACCCAATTTTTCATTATTATCAACTAATTAAATTTTTCTAAACAACACAAAACTTCATTAAAATATCAATGCATTAGATCATATGTAACTTATATTTAATTTTTTAAATATGCAAGTCAAATGATGATCCTTACATACAGCCTCAGAGTTACTGTTCCCAATAACTAATAATTCCTTAATGGAAAGAATTAACTCTAATGTAGAAACTGAACATGTATTTTTAAACATTAGTTATGTAAACATCAAACTTTTTAGGACTCTTAATGTAGTTATCACATATATTAAATATATGATAGTAAAAACTGTAAGACAGGAAATACCTTATATGGTTGTTTGAAGGAAAATCTGAAGAGCATATGTAGACTGAGAAAACTGAAAAGGGTAGTGATAAATTGACCATAATTGTGAAAGTCTTTGAAATCCTTARTGAATTAAAATGACCAAGAATTTTCTGAAGGCAACATAACTGCAATAGTAGAATTAGAAGTGAATGTGTAGTAGGCAACAATTGTGGGATGCTTTCTAATACCTTTCACTTGAAATGTGTTTCATGTGATCTTTTGTAGCTTAGATTTTTCAGAACTTTTCTTTAGAAACAAATTTTTTTTCCTTTTTTAAGACTGTTTTAAACAATTTATTCTTATAAGTCTGGATGAGCTTCTACATGTTTTAAAGTCTGTAATGAGTAAGCATCAGAACCTCAATTCTGTCGATCTTCAAAATGCTGCAGAAATGCTTACTAGAAAAGTGAAAGGTAAGGATGATATATTAAAAGTGGGTAGCTGTGGGCAAAAAGGCTTCAGTGAGACATTTTGTTTCATAATGTATAACCATTTCCTCTGATGGCATTTGTATGAGGTTTAGCAATAAAGAGTTATGTATACTTGGATATTTAAATACCTCAAGTAAGTCACACCTACAGCTTTTCTTCTCTTAAAAATGAAAACTTACTTGTCAATGAACACTGTAAAACTACTAACTTGAACTATACAACTGATACTTAAAATTTGAACTTTATGAATGAGTTCATGATATTTTGAGGTAGTTAATTAGTGTACAAGTATCTTTGTTATGTTAGAACAAATGGTGTTTAAAAATGTTCAGTTGTAGCAATTCCAGTTTGTAAAAGGAACCAAGTGGAGAACAAGGCTTGTAAGATTTGAAAATGAAAATTGTATGATAAGTTGTGTGTGTGTGTGTGTGTGTGTGTACACATAGCATATCTGTGCTAATACAGTCAAGAATTGAGACTTTCCAGTTAAATGACTTACCACTCAATATTGTTAAAATTATTCTGGGCTGCAACATGCAAGAATTGAGAGTGAAGGAAGTATTTAGGTCAGTTGGGAGATTGTTAGAAGTAATGGGCAAGATAAGGATTGAAGGTCTGATTTAAGGCAGACACTGGGATGGGGTAGTGGTAGGTTGTTGATTGTTGTCTAGAGGGGATGGATGTCAATTAACAAAAACAAGACAAGTTGAACATATTAGGGGTTATGGAGAAGTTTGGAGTTGAAGGTGTGGACTTGGGAATTGATGTATGGGTGGTAGACAATTTTAAGTGGGAAAAGTGGGTAGCTTCTCTTGTGGATTGTTTTTAATGGATTGTTTACAAGTGCCATTTGACTCAGGAAAATTTGTGTCTATAGATAGTAAAATTTCCATGCTGGGAAATAGCKACCTAGTTCAATTGTTGTCAGTGGCTACTGTGTGCAGTCAGGATGTCCTGGGGAAGGAGTGCCTGTGTGGTTGGTGTCCACATTCCAGAAGGGGACAATTGAAAGAGAGAGAGATCTCAGTTGTCTTAGAGATTTTTTTATGTCTTTGAAGTCAAGTAATCTTTTGAATATCATTTCCCACGATGACTGTTGTTACATGGGATTGTTACTGGTTTACTTTTGCGTTGGGTGAAACTTAAAAGGGGAAGATTACTTGTGAAATTTACTCTTTCAGCAAGMATTGTGAGACTAGAAAACTTTAAAAAAACTGTTCTTTGGGGTAGGCTTACGTGTATTTGAATAAGACCTTCCTCTTTGTCTCTACTCCTAATGTTGAAGCACCCTAAAAATATATTGATATTGTAAATGAAAAATATTCAGTGTTCTGAAAAATGGAGATAAGAGCTTATTTAATGCTTTGATTTAATGATAATTTAGTTTTGAAAACCCAGAAAGGCAAGGTATAGGTGAAAACTATTTTTTTAATGTCTACCCTGTGCCAAGCAATCTAAGTGCTTTGCATATTTCAGTCTTTGCAAAAACCTGTAAGTATATATTTTTGTTATGCTTATTTTAGAGAGAAATATTAAGAAAAACTCCTGTAGGATGAAAAAAAGCTGTAAAAGTTTGAAGATCATTTAGATCATTTAGTCTTAACCCCCTGATTACATTTTAAAAAACAGCAGTGACCTAAGCAATTGACTTATTTGGAGTTCTTACCCATCAGATGCATTTTTCAAATTTGCAGATAAAGACATTTTCGGAACTCAGGAATTTATGCTGTATTTAGTATTTTCATTTATTTAGGTCAATTTTAATAGTGCCCTTGTTCGAAAAGGAGGTTTTATTTAGGTTTTTCATGTTCTGTATTTTGCCCTTCATTTATAAAGACAATCATTATATTATAATTATACCTCCAAGAGTATAGAAGTTTCATGTTTCTTTCTATTCTTCAAACTTGATTCTTTCAATATGCAGTTCCTTCACACAAGTAAATACAAATTGTGGGAGAGGGTATTCACCAGTGAACATTTTTTTTTTTACTTTAGCCTCTTTGCCTACCCATATCTTTCCCTAGATAAGTAATAACTACTACTGCTTTTTTTGCATCTTTCCAGAGATATATTACACATATACAAGCCTCTACATTTGGGTCTCATTAAATTCTGACAAATGCATATTTCTGAAAACATCATCATAGACATGGTAATGTTTACTCCCCTTATAATTCTCCACCTCCTCTTTCACAAATTTTGATGTTTTGTTCTTGTTTTCACTTAGTTCAAAATACTTTCTAATTTCTCTTCTTCTTTGACACATGGGTTTTTCCGAAGTTTGATATTTAATTTTCTGATATTTGGGAATTTCACAGAGATCCTCTATTATTTATTCCTGATTTAATTCCAGGTAGTCACAGAATGTGTTTTGTCTGATATGGATACTTTCAAACTCAGTGTGAGACATGTTTTATGGCCCATAATAAGGCCTGTGTTGGTAAATATTCATTTGAAAAGAACATGTGTTTGCTGTCAGTAGTTGGAGTGCTCTATAATTGTCTGTCTTGTCAAGGTGGATTCAGATCTTCCTACCCTTACTCATTTTCCATCTGTGTGTTCTGTCAGTTGCAGGGAGGGCTATTGAAATCTCTGCTATCACTATGAATTTGTCTATTTCTTGTTGCAGCTCTATCAGTTTTTGCTTCATGCATTTTGAAGCTCTGTTTATTGGATACATAAATGTATAGAATTGTTAGGTCCTCTTGATGACCTGACTCCTTCATAATTATAAAATCATGTCCATCTGTGTCCCCCTGCCCCACCCCCTGTAATTTCCTTTGCTTGAGAATCTACATTGTATAATATTAGGCAATAAAGTGGGGCAGTTGTAAGCTTACCATGGTGTTTCTTGTCTGTCAGGGACTACTGTTCTTTATTGCCAGATAATCCAGTGTCTTGAAAAATGTTGTTTCTTAAATTTTATACAGGTTTTTTTCCAGTTGTTTTGGGCTTAATTATAACCAGTTTCTTGGCCTAAGTTTTTAGAATATTTTTAAAATTGCTTCCACTGATTGTGAAGTTTTCCTTTTTGTTTGTATTATGGATATTTAGAAGAATATAATGAAATGTGTGGACCCCCCTCACCCCCCACAAATCTACAAAGGTTTATACATGTAAAATCTGATTGTAATTTCATGGAGTTTATAGGCTTGAGGTTAATTCATCCCAATGTAAGAGTCCTTGCTTTCCAACTCTATTTGCCTATTTAGAATCACCTGAGAGCTTTTGAAAAAATATCTGTGCCTTACTCCAGAATTTTTTTTTGTACCAAGGATTGAACCCAGGGGTGCTTAACCATTGAGCCAGATCCCAAGACCTTTTATATATTTTATTTAGAGACTTCAAATCTGAATCTTTGGTGATGGAGCTGASTTTGTTTTTAAAACTCTCCATCCAAGATTTTAAATGATTGGTAAAACAGAGGATGGCTYCTTCTCCACATGGTTTGTCTACGTGCACCTTACTGGTATGGATACTAGAGAGGATAGGATACATAGAACCATTTCCTCCTTAGTACCAGCCTAAGTAGCATGGTTTATTAACTTAAAAAGAGAAAAGCCAATTCCACCTTCAGAGTTTGTMTTAGTAAATTGTATTCAAGCTTTTATCAAGAGTGCATACAGAAGTTAAAACTCATTTTGTTGTTTCATAATTTGCATTAACAAAGGGCAAAATGTCTCTTTATAAACAAAAGACACCCAAAAGACTTTAAAACAGCATACTACAAGGACATAGCCACATCAGTATTTATAGCAGCACAATTCACAATAGCTAAACTGTGGAGCCAACCTAGATGCCCTTCAGTGGATGAATGGATTAAAAAGTGGCATATATACACAATAGAATGTTACTCAGCAATAAAAGAGAACAAAATCAGGTAAATGGATGGCATTGGAGAAGATAATGCTAAGTGAAGTTAGCCAATTTCAAAAAAACAAATGCTGAGTGTTTTCTCTGATATAAGGAGGCTGACTCAYAGTGGGGTAGGGAATGGGGTAGCATGGGAGGAATAGATGAATTCTAGAGAGGGCAGAGGGGTGGAATGGAAAGAAAGGGGCCAGGGGATTAGCAAGGATGGTGGAATGTGATAGACATCATTATCTAAAGTACATGTATGAAGACATGAATTAGAGATATGAAAAATTGTGCTATATATGTATAATAAGAATTGTAATGCATTCCACAGTCATTTATTATTTTTTTAATCAATAATAAATAAATAATAAATAAATAAATGACAGCTCTATGTCAATTAACATAGATCTCAGGGACCAGAGCCTATTATGAGCAATAAAACTATGAAAAATAGGAATTTAAATTCTCTGAAGCACTGAATTTTTAAAAAATGTGGTATGTTGTGTTATAGGTATTATATAGATTTAAATGTATATAAAATTTCAGTTATTGGTGGCTCATAGTAAATATGTGCTTCCTGTTGATTTCATTGAGCCACAGTGTCTTTAACCCCAGAAAGTAGTAAGCAAGAGAAAATAACACAAAACACTCTTTTTAAAAATATTTTTAGTTGTAGGTGGGCACAATACCTTTATTTTATTTTTTTTTATGTGGTGCTGAGGATCAAACCCAGTGCCTCATACATGCTAGGCAAGTGTTCTACCACTGAGCCACAACCTCAGCCCAATACAGAACACTCTTCAAGAAGAGGTCTGGTGTAACAACTCTGACTTTAAGACAGATTGATTTCACATTAAGTCATTTTTTATATGTGTCAAAAATATTTAAAGCATAGAGTTAGGGAGTTTAGAATACCAACTACTTTCATGCAAACTGATTTTTTTATGATTTCCTGAGTGAATACCTGGACATCTGATTGATTTTGTATATTAGCCCTTTCAGTTTCTGAATCTTTTAATTAAATAATGGTCAGTTTTTAAAGGATTAAATGATTTTGTGTGAATCTAGTTCCAAATATTTTCTCCCTCATTTATTGTAAGCAACCATTCCTTGTAGCTGTGAATTTCACAGAAGTTAATGAAGACAACAAAAACGATCTATTCCAAGAAGTGTATTCTTCAACTGAAACATTGGCATTTACCTTTAGGAATATGTAAGTAGAGGACTGTCATTYAAAGGTACTCAGTATATTGCATGTACAATCCATAGAAACTGAAGTATTAACTGTAGTGACATATTATCACAACTCTGAAAAAGACACATCCTGTGTTGCTCTATTTAATGTATTTGGAGGTGTCTTTATAGCTATTTAGAAGCAACATTCATTTGCAAGTGACTGATTCATGCGAATAGATTTCTAGGAGTTTTTTTTATCAGGTTYTTACATAAAACAGATTGTCCTCAATGACATGATTGTAAAGCCTATGACAAAGAAGCATAATGATATTCTTTTCTTTTCCTTAACCTCTCTGGATAGCTTTACAAACTTCCTTATGGAAGATGTGGGCAATGACGCATTGTTACAACTGCCTGTTTCTCAGGAAAATAAGGTAGGCTGTTTGTGTCAGAGTGAATCCTTTAATGTTTTTAACCAAGTATTTCCTAATCTCAGAATTACTCCTTCATTGTTAAGTTTATAAATTACCRTATTATGGTAAGAAAACCAGACCAATTCATTTAAAATGTGAGAATATGATCAGTTTCTAGAGCAATAATTTGGTAATACTTTTTAAGTGGACTGAACCATTAAGAGAGCATGCCTGATAATTTATAACGTATGGTATAAAGCCTAAAATTTTAGAAAGGATTTTTTAACCTTTTTTCCCTACTGATTTTGACACAGATCTTGAGACTGATGAAACTTGGCGGGGGGGGGGGGGGAGGGGGAAGAAAACTGGAAAAAGTGAGGGAGGTGGTAAGCTCACATATCATACTTTTTTTTTTTTTTTTTGGCCAGGACACTTGTTATCTCTGTAGGTCTTAATTCTCCCAACTAGCATCTCTATACTTTTGTCATAGGATTGGGGTTATGATTTCTAATTGGAAAAAAATAAATTTCTTTAGAATATTAAAACATAGGAATGTATGGAGAATGTTTTCTTAAAGATCTATAATATGGAATATTTTCAGTTGACTGATTATTTTTTTACTTAATGAAAGATATTTAAACATACTCCCTCAGGGACATGTGTTGATAATTCCTGTTAAGAATGATCTGATCCATTAACGAGGCCTAAGCAACTTAGTGAGATCTGTCTCAAAATTTTTTGAAAAATGGCTGGAGCTGTGGCTCAGTGGTTAAGCACCCCAGGGTTTAAGCCCTGGTACTACAACAAAAAAAGAGGATTGATCAGATCCAAAAAGGATTTCAACAAATGTACCAGGTACTTGTATTATATCAAAATAATATAAAAACTCAWGCTGGTATGGTGGTGCATGCCTATAATCCTAGCAGTTCGGGAGGCTGAGGTAGGAGGAGTGCAAGTTCAAAGCCAGCCTCAGCCTTAGCAAGACCCTGTCTCAAAATAAAATAAACAATAAGGCAAGGTGGTGCATGCCTGTAATCCCAGTGGTTTGTGAGGCTGAGGCAGGAGGACTGGGAGTTCAAAGCCAGCCTCAGCAATTTAGCAAGGCCCCAAGCAACTCAGTGAGACCCTGTCTCTAAATAAAATACAGAAAAGGGCTAGGGATGTGCCTCAGTGGTTAAGTGCCCCTGAGTTCAACACTCAGTACCAAAAAAATCAAATCAAAAATAAAAAGTGCTAGGGATATGTGTCAGTGCTTAAGTACCCCAGGTTCAGTCTCTGGTATCCCCAGCCCCCAAAAAGAAAACCTTAAGGTCTTTCTTAAAATGATAAAAAATATGAATATAAATGCTTAAGGCACTGGGTACACRTATTGCAAACATGACTACGAATGTTTCTAAAATCATCCATTGATAAATGGAGAATAAGGAAGAGTCTAAAAATTGTCAAGTATTTTACTGTTATACATGTTTCTTCCTCAATTTTACCTTTTAAAATTGTTACTGATTCTTCAGAAAATAAAATATTTTATGTATGTAGCAAAGCTCTGAACAACTTAAATTTTAGGTATGAATCATATTTCCTATTCCTGCTTCTCTAATGTGGACACATACAATTCCTTTATTAGGAAAATACTTTTCCCCTTTTTTAAAAATTTTGTGCCTTGTCTTTCCTTTTTGGAAGTTTTAATTTTCCCTAGAGATTAAGATTAAAAAGCTCATGATGATATAATCCTAATAATAAAATTACATTGTTTGATGAAGGTTTTTGAAAAATATACTTTAAAAATAATAGCCGCAATTCATTTTAATAGTGCTTACTATGTACCTTCTGCTGTGCTAATAACATTACATCATCTTAATTCTTAAAACAGCCTTATGAATATGGTGTTCTTATCCCTTTTTCATAGAAGGGCAAACTAAAGTTAGGTGAGTTTAAATGTGTAATCCCATGTCATAGAGAGAATAATGGAGCTAGACTTGAGAACCCAGGTCTTTTTGATCCCTTTTGCATTGAATCCCTACGTACCTTATATTACCCAACCAAGTAGATCAAATTTGTTGAAGATTTAATGATTTGGGGGCTGGAGTTGTGGCTCAGTGGTAGAGTGCTCACCTAGCATGTACGAGGCCCTGGGTTTGATCCTCAGCACCACATAAAAATAAATAAATAAATAAAGGTATTGTGTCCAACTACAACCAGAAAATAAATATTAAAAAAATTTAACAATTTTGATGGATGTAGTTTTCTAGCTCTGCTAATATGGTAGCCATTAGTCACATCTAGTTCTTTAAATTTAATTAATAATTAAATAAAAGTAAAAATTTGCTTCTTAGTCATGTTAGATACTTTTAAAATGTTCAGGTAAGTAGCTACAATGTAGTTAATAACTACCATATAGGATATTACATATACAAAACTTTTGCCTCTTTACAGAAAGTTCTATGCTCAGCTGTCCAATAAACTTTCAAGGATATGCTTATTATATAATAAAATGGTAAAAGATGGCTGGACAAGGCAGATCTATATCTTCTATTTAGATAGCAATCTATTTATATCACTTCTTTGACTTCCTAATATTTGGGGGATATGCAGAATTTAAAGTTTTGCGTAGATTCATGCATGTTAACTAATGCTGTTATTAATGTGATTGTTCATCCTTGGATCTTAAAAACTACTGTGGTAAAAGTAATTCTTAGAAAGTGTTCTGGTGTTTAAACAGACTTCTCAGGCCCTTTAAAAGGTTTTAAATACTTGAAATTCTTTAGCAGTAGTTATGCCAAAGTAACAAATTTGAGTGAAAAATTTCTGAAGCAGAGATTTGTTGTCTTCTGCACTAATCTTAAATTTGTTTTCTTCCATGTTGTAAAGTCTTTAGAAAACATTTCTGTGGACTCAGTGGAGTCATCCAATGGAAAAGGTAATATTCAATGTACTTATAAGTTTTGTCAAACATTTTGCAGTTTCTTTCACTAAGTGTTCTGGATTACTTAATCTCTTCTTGATTAGTAACCTAGTGTACCTAATGTACTCATTTTTAGTACAAAATAATATATAAAGTGTTATGTATAAAGCTTAAGAGGAAAATCCCAATTGAGTAGGTAAATAATTTGATGATGTAGACTGATCAAGAATATAAGACATGTAACTTGAATAATAGAAATACATATTAAGACAAAAATATATTGTAACTTGAAACCATTTTATGTTTAAATTGTGCCCTTTGTCTGAATGCTGCTTTGTTTAGAATTACTACAGACCATATTTAATAAATACTTATGCTGATTTTTTTATTTTCAGGAAATTTTTCTCCTGTAGAATTAGTCAATGTGCTATTAAAAAACACTGATTCTATTGAATTGGCCTTGTCATATGCTAAAACTTGGTCAAAATATGCAAAGAACATAGTATCATGGGTTGAAAAAAAGCTTAACCTGGGTGAGTTGTCTTTTGGAACATCTGATTAACTTTGGAGTATAAGAACTAAATTGTTTATGATTCATTTTCTATAGACTGTAAGTATTATGATTACAGATTAGTTATTTCATTGTAATAAATAAAGTCATTATTCATTTTCTCTTCTCGAAATAGAATTTCTTACACAAATGTACTTGTTGAACATTTACGGTGGGTCAACCATTAGACCTAGAAATCATATTGTAATAGGTGAAAAGAAATACAATCAGATAGTATGGTTAAAGGAGATAAACGCAACAATAGATGTTTCAGCAGAAGGCAGTGGAAGCTTAGAAGAAACATCCCCAACCCCAGCCCATGCTGGGGATTAACCCAGCACATCATGCAGGCCGGGCAAGCACAGTATGTGCTACCACCACCRAGGTACAGCCCCAGCTCGAAGAAACATCTTAACAGCTAATATTAACCTATAGTTTTACAGTTGAAAAAAGGTTTTCATATGCATTATCTCATTTAATCCTACAAAACCCTGGGAAGTAGGCAAGACAAGAATTCTTAGCCCCATTTACAGATAAGACAAACAAGTGATTTTTCTTAAGGTCATACAGCAGATTTACTTAAGGTCATAGAGCATAACTGGAATAAAATAGAATCCATCAAAGCCTGTGCTCTTTCCACTGTGTTGTTTGTTTTTAATAGGGAATGCAAATTAAAATCACTTGAATAGCCTTAAAAAGGCCTAGGTTTCATTTCTCAGAGAGGTAAAGTCCAGTCAAGTGTATTTTGAAAAAGTTTCCCAGTTGATTCTGACAAGCACTTAAAATTAAGAATTACTGCGTTTTCATCAAGATGCACACTGGTATATGTGATCACTTTTTTCTTTTCCTTTTTTTGGAGGGTGAGGGGTGGCAGCAGGGATTGAACCCAGAGACACTCAACCACTGAGGGACATTCCCAGCCCCTTTTTATTTTTTAATTTGAGAAAGGATCTTGCTAAGTTAATTAAGCAAGGTCCTAATTGCTGAGGCTGGCTTTGAACTTGACAATCCTCTTCCTGCCTCAGGGATTACAGGCATATGCCATCATTCCCAGCTTGTAATCACTTTCAATTGGAGAATTACAAATGGAGTATGGGGGTGGGGGAATTTATTGATTTTTGCCTTCTGATACCTACTTTAATCTTTTCAGAAATTGAATCTACCAGAAATCTTGTAAAGTTGGCAGAAGCAACTAGAGCTAACATTGCCCTAGAGGTAAGTATTCTGTGAATTTCTAGGGTTCTATTATAAGAGAACTAGTCAGGTGAGCTCCTAAATAGTGCCTTGTAAAATCAGAAAATTTCAAGTGCTAGAGGAAAGAACTCAATTGCTAGTCTTTTTTTTTAATAGTGAACTTTATTCATTTATTTTTAAATTTTTTTAGATGGGAGTGGATCTTTATTTTATTTATTGATATGTGGTACTGAGAATTGAACCCAGTGCCTTTCWCGTGCCAGACAAGCACTGTGCCACTGAGCCACAACCCCAGCCCTAATTGCTAGTCTTTTTATTGACAAAATTCTTTTAAATTTATATGGCCATTAATTATGAAAAACAGTACGAAATTCACAATCTTATACACATATTTATTATTATAATGGCTGCCAATTTCCTAATTTATAATTATAATTAACTAACTTTCTTTAGTATTCTTCCCATAATTGTGTTCATGAATAGTCATTTTTCTAGGAGAAAACAATCTAAACTTAAGTTTCTCTTTTTGAAGAATAGTGGGTGCATCTGGAATTCTGGTGCTATTTCTATTGTAAAATTTACTTCTTAATTTTAAATTCTAGGAGTTTATGCCACTACAGTCTTTATTTACCAGTGCTCTCCTCAGTGACATAAATAATAGTCACCTTTTGCAACAAACAAATGCAGCTCTCCAAGCCAACAAATTTGTACAGGTAAAATTAAATTAATTAAATAATTAAAAATAGGATTAATTTAATTAATAACATTTATTTATATAATGCACAATTCTTTTTTTACAACAGCATATCTTTACAAAACAACTTTTTTTCTTTTTATTGTTTGTAAATATCCTCAACAGCCTCTACTGGGGGGGATAAAAAAAATGGAAAAACAAAGGAAAGATATGAAGGAACTTTGGAAACAGGAACAAAATAAAGTGGTTAGTATTATACTGGAGTTTCATGTACCTGTTTGTGAACATTTAAAAATCATCTATATTATATAACCATTTACCTTACTCTAGTTTTCTAAAATACTGCTTAACTATCTCCCTGAATATGCTAAAGAAATTTTTATAGTAGGGTTTCTTTCACATTCGATATTTAATATACTATTTTCTGTATAGCTCAAAACAGAAGCTGCTCTCAAAAAGGCAATGTTGTTATGCATGCAACATCAAGATGAATACGAAAAAGCAAAATCTTCCATTTTTCGTGCAGAGGAGGAGCATCAGTGCTCATGTGGTGGATTAGCAAAAAATCCAAACAAGCAACGAGAAAAAAAGCGAAAGTTGGAAGAGGAAGCACTTCAAAAAGTAATATTTTCTTGTTATTTGGAAGTTGAATTAGCAATAATCTGCAAAGGGTTTCTTCTTAAACTTGTAATATGTGTTGGGATTATGGAAGAGGCTTATTCAAACAGCCTGCTGGGCCCACCTCAGAGTTAGGGATTGAGTGGATAAAGGGTGAGACCCAAAGAACATATTTCTTTTTTTCTTTCGTTTTTTAAAATATTTTTTAATTGTCAATATACTTTTATTTGTTTATTTGTGGTGCTGAGAATCAAACCCAGTGCCTCACACATGAYAGGCAAGAACTCTTCCACAGAGCTACAAACCCAGCCCCAAACAACATATTTCGAACAAGTTCCCTGGTGATGCTGGTGGAGATCCACACTTTGAGAATGACTATGCTACAAGACTTAAGAATTTGGAGTTTTGTTTGTGAAAGAAGTATCTTTTAAAGCAGCAGTTTAATATTTTTTTACTTGATTTTTCAGAAAGTTCACCTTTTAAGCAAGTGTGTATATTGTATGTGCGCTAATTCCAGCACATGGAATTATTATACTAGCAAGTAGAAACTAAAATTTTGAATTATTTATGAAATACAGTTTTGGTAAACAAATTCTGTGAGATAAACAGTAAATAAATATAGAAAATGGTATTTTAAATAGAATGTTTACTTTATTGACATACAATATACTAATTGTAATTTGTGCTTGAGTAGTTGAGTCACTCACCAGAATGTTTACTATTTGTTATATTTAGAAGTTTTCCATTTAAAATATAGATAGACTATTTCAAATTTTCATGATGAAAGACTTTTTAGTTATTTAAATTCAACTTTTCTAAAATAAGTATGTATTCTAAAACATAAATTCTGATGATCAGTGTTATTTTTTTCTATGATATTCCTGAAGGTAGAAGAAGCAAATGAACTCTACAAAGTTTGTGTAACTAATGTTGAAGAAAGACGAAACGATCTAGAAAACACCAAAAGAGAAATTCTAACACAACTCAGGACACTTGTTTTCCAGTGTGATCTTACCCTTAAAGCTGTGAGTGATTTCTTCAGTATTTTTGAAGACTAGAGAGGAGAAAAAAGCCTTCTTATCTGTAGAAGGGAGAGGGATGCTTGATAAGTTGATTCTTATGAGATTTAAATTCTGGGAGCAATAGAGCATGTTTAAAGATTGGCTTTCGGTTTTCATGAGTGACATAGTTTGATTTATTTTTGATCTGTCTCCCCTCTACATCCCCTAGATTCATGATTCTCTTAGTTTCAACTGAACTGTGAAAATTTGAAATTGCCTCTAAGCCACTTTTTGCCTTGATTGATAAATTTGATTTGACCCTGTAACTTCTGTCAGCTGAGTGACAGAAGAGAGATCTATTCTTCAAAATTTGAATAAAATAAATATTAAAATTAAACCCAGTGATATATTTGATGACCTAGCATTCAGCCTGCATTTGTTTTCATTGCCTCTTTAAAATGTTTTTTATAAAATATTTACATATCCAAAACCTTCTTGGTGTAGTTTATAAGTTTTAACACACATATAAATTTGTGTAACTATCACCATAGTCAAGATTTGGAACAATTTCATCACTTCAGTGATATTCTTTTTGCTGGGCACTGTAGTGTGTGCCTGTAATTCCAAGGACACTGGAGCAGAAGGATAGCAAGTTCAAGGCCAGCCTGGGGATGTAATTTAGTGATAAAAACACTCCTGGCTTCAATCCCCAGTTTAACACACACACACACACACACACACACACACACACACACACGTATATACTGTTGCGGCAAGTGTGGTGGCACACACCTGCCATTTCAGCTACTCGGAAGGCGGAGACTGGAGGATCTCCAAGCCCGAGGCCATCCTGGCACTTAGTGAGAATGTATTTCAAAATAAATGGGCTCAGGGGCTGAGGTTGTGGATCAGTGGTAGAGCGCTTGCCTAGCATGTGTGAGGCACTGGGTTGAATTCTCGGTACCACATATAAATAAATGAATAAAATACAGGTCCATCAACATCTGAAAAATGTTTAAAACAAAAATGGGCTCAGGAAGTATGTGGCTCAGTGGCAGAATACCTGCCTAGCACGTGCAAGACCCTGCTGGGTTCAATCCTCAGTGCCACAAAAAAGGTTCTTTCATGCTACACCTTTATAGTCAAACTCTCCATCTTGCCCTAACCCCTGGCAAGTTCTGTTGTGTTCTCATCTCATTACTTCAGTCTTTTCCAGAAGTCATAGAAATGTAATCGTATAGTAGGTAACCTTTGGAAACAGGCTTCTTTTACGTAGCCTAATGCCTTTGAAATTCCTCAGTGTTATGCATGTATCAACAGTCTATTTCTTTGTGTTGTTGAACAGTAGTCCATTATATGACTACACCACATTGTGTATCCATTTACAAAAAAAAAATGTTGGACATTTGTGTTGTTTCTAGTTTGGGGTAATTATGCATAGAGCTATATGAATATTTATTTACAGGCTTTTGTCGAATATGTTTTTATTATTTTAAATAACCTAGGATATTGGGTTTTACTGGTTAATATTGCTAAATGCATGTTTAACTCAATAAGAAACTGCCAAACTATTTTCCAGAGTGGTTGTAATCAGTGGTGCATGAGAATTCCAGTTATTCTGTGTCCTTCCTTGATATTTGTCATTTCTTGTTTTTACATCTTAGCTATTCTAACAGATGGGTAGTATTATCTAATTGTGGCTTCAATTTGTGTTTCCAGAATGACTAATGATATTTTTAAAAATGTTTAAAGGGCTCATTTGTAATCTGTACTTTTCCTATCTAATTTAATTTTTTATTGAGTTGTTTGTTTTCTGTTGTTGAGCTTCTCCCATTCACAGCTTCTTTTTACAATTTTAGCAAAGTCTTTCATGGAGCAAAAGATTTTAATTTGGATGGAGTCTAGCTTATTTCTTCTTTTATGGGTCATGTTTTTGATGTTATATCTAAGAATAAAGATACTTCATCTAACCCAAAGTTTTTTCCTAAAAGTTTTATTTATTTGTCTTATTTATTTATTTTTGAATTATGGATTAAACCCAGGGGCTCTTTACCACTGAGSTACATCCCCCAGTCCTTTTATTTTTAAACAGTATCTCACTAAGTTACCAAGGCTACACATGAACTTGCAAGGATCCTCCTGTATGAGCCTCCTGAGTTGAGGGGATTAGAGACATGCACCATGGTGCCTGACAGAATTGTGTAATTTTACATTTAGATATATGATCCATTTTGAGTTACTTTTTTCCATTTTTTTATAACTGTACATATGGTGGGATTTGTGGTTTCATACTCATACATGCATACAGTATAACAAAATAATTTGGCAATATCATTCCCTACCAATTGCCTTTTCTCTTGTCTCTTCCCTTCTCCTGGTCCTTTTTCTCTACTAATTTCCTATTGATTTTCATAAGAGGTATAGTTTGAGGTTTGATTTTTAGCATATAGATGTTATATTAAAATTATACCTGTGGAATTCCAAYTTACGGAAGTGATATTGTACCAAACACAAGAGAGGTCAATGCCATTCCTAGAAGAATTTATTGCTTACATTTTCTGAAGAGAAGGGGACTTATCATAGCAAGTTTGGCAGTCAGATGCAGGAGTGAAATGGCGTCTTTATTGGGGTTTCCTCAGGAGAGGCAAAATGAGCAAAGTAACAGTTTAGAATTGGCTAGTTTGAATAATTCCAGAGGGCTTTGGGACACTTGGATGATCTCTAGTTGCTTGGTACCTGACCCTGGGTTGATAGAGGGTCAGAGGAAATCGTTGGCTTGAGGTAAGAGTTTGGGAGTCGACTGGGGTTATAGATTTGGGACATGTGAAGTATGTGATCCCAGCTGAGCCCTGGGCTATTTTAAGAGTTATTTTAGCCCAAGAAGGGCCAATCTCTCCCTGGCTAGCATTGTTTTGTGTTTTTTAAGATATCAAAATATCATGTAATACAGAAAATAAAAGACACGGTTAATATAGATTCCACTTGTTCTGATACCATTGGTTGAAAACACTGCCATTTTCTTCAAAATGCCTTTGCATCTATTTTTAAAAATCACTGGACCACATTTGTTTATATTTGTTTCTGGATTCTCCATTTTATTGCATTAACAAATGGAATATTTATTTGTTTATCCTTTTGCGAAAACCCCAATATCTTGATTCAGTTGCTTTATATCAAGTTTTAAAACCAGGTATTTTGAGTCTTCCACTTTTATACTTTTTGCAGAATTGTTTATGTTTAAAATCCTTTAATTTTCATTAAAATGTTAGAATCCAGTTATGTTTATCTACAGAAAAATCTTACTAAAATTTTTATTGAGGTTGTATTAATTGTTAGATGATATTATAGATAATTGATTATAGATGTAGCATCTTTTTAAATCCATGAACATTATATATTTTTCCATTTTTTTAAACCAGCATTTTGTAGTTTTCAACATATAAATCTCTTTCAGGTTTTGTTAAATTTTTAAAAAATATTTATTTTTTTATGTGTAGATGGACACAACACAATGCCTTTATTTTTATGTGGTGCTGAGGATCGAACCCAGGTCCTGCCCATGCTTGGGGAGCGCTCTACCGCTGAGCCACAATCCCAGCCCAGGTTTTGTTAAATTTAAATCTATGTATGTGATACACTTTCAAGTTCCAGTTGTTTAATAATATTTGGAAATACATTTAATTTCTTTATATTGCTCTTATTCCTTATAACCTGGGTAAATTCACATGTTTTAGGAGCTCGTGTAGATTCTTGGGATTTTCTACATAGAAAGTCACATTACCTGCAAATAAGAACAGTTTTATATTTCCCTTTCCTGTGTGTATTTCTTTTTTTTAGAGAGGGGGGGAGGCAGAGGGAGGGAGGGAGAGAGTTAATTTTTAATATTTATTTTTTAGTTTGCAGCTGACACAACATCTTTGTTTGTATGTGGTGCTGAGGATCGAATCCGAGCCGCAAGCCGCACACATGTCAGGCGAGCGCGCTACCACTTGAGCCACATCCCCAGCCCCATCCCGTGTGTATTTCTTTTATTATTTTTTTCTTATTTCACTAGATGGGGCTCCCTGTTGAATGGGGTCCCATTGTCAAGTAAGAGAGGTAAGAGATGACATCCTTGTCTTATTCTCCATCAGGGGGAAAAATATTTAGGTCTTTCAACATTAAATATGGTGATACCTATAAGTATTTGAAGATACCCTTCAATCTGATCAATGAATTTCTCTTTTTGCTAGTTTGCTGAGAGTTTTATCATGAATAAATGTTGGAATGTATAAAATATTTTCTATATTATTTGATGTAATCATGTGGTCTGTCTTCTCTAGCCCATTAATGTGGTAAATTCAGTTGTTATTGGAGTGTTGATCAGGCCTTGCATTCTGGGATTAGCTCCTCTTGTTTGTTCCTTTTATATATAGGTAGATTCAGTTTGCTAATATCTTGTTATATTAAAAGATAGTAAAAGATATTGGTATATTTTGTTCTTTTTTGAAAATTTGTTCTAATTAGTTATACAARACCATAGAATACATTTTGACACATTATATATAAATGGAGTATAGCTTCTCATTCTTCTGGTTCTATGTGATATAGAATCACACCAGTCATGTAATCATATATGCACAAAGGGTAATAATGTCCAATTCATTCTGCTGTTCTTTCTAACCCCATATCCCCTCCCCTCCCTTCAATCCCCTCTACCTAATCTAAAGTAAGTCTATTCTTCCCTAGCTCCATCCTTTTATTGTGAATTAGCATTACATATCAGAGAAGACATTTGGCCTTTGTTTTTGGGGGATTGGTTTATTTCACTTAGCATGATATTCTCTAGCTCCATCCATTTACCAGCAAATGCCACCATTTCATTCTTATTTAAAAGACTGAGTAATATTCCATTGTGTATTATATACTGCAGTTTCTTTATCCATTCATCTGTTAAAGGATACCTGGGTTGGTTCCATAGTTTAGCTATTGTGAGTTAAGCTGGTATAAACATGGGTGTGACTGTGTCACTGTAGTATGCTGAT